GAGGAGAGAAAGCATAGGAGGGGAGGAGGGAGAGAGAGGAAGAAAGACATGACAATCAGCGCCAGGACAAAATTCCCCCTCAAGCGAGCTGATTTTCGATGACAGCGAGGGGTCCATGCAACGAAAACCACCCAGAAGGGCTTTCGAGAAAGTTTTCTTGCAGAAATTATCGCTCTCCTGATGACAAAGATTGACAGGTCCTCCAGAGGGGGGGTCAGCTGCTGGGACCCCCCCAAGGGGATAAACCTCCCCCCTTCCTCACAAGAACGGTGGCCCTGAGCTATCCCAAAATTCAGAGGAGCCGGGAACTCAGCTTGTCCCTCCATCGGCTCTCCCCAAATGGAGCGGTCAGGTGAGACGGGAGGAGCGCAAAGCCCCAGAAGTGCTGGGGGGGGGGGGGGGGGGGGGGGGCAAGGAAGGGGAAGCCAGTGTGTGTGTGTGTGTGGGGGGGTCTTCCCTTCTTTGGAGTCTCCCCCCCCGGCTGAAGCTGGGCCTGGACCCCCAACGTACCTTTGGCGCCAGTTCCGGGCTGTGCTGAAGGACCGTGTACAGGATCTGCATGTTGTTGGGGTTCCTGGCGTTGGACAGTTCGTTGAAAATCACCGACTTCACTACAGTTCCCAGGTTGTCTTGGTGGGCGTTCAGCAGCTCCCTGGAAGAGGCCGCCGTATCTAGAGGTGAGGCTTCTCCCCAGCCCCAGTCAGCCGCCGGGTGGAAGACGCGCCTCCCAATGGATTGTCCAACTTTAGCAACTTTTAAGACTTAGAATATAGAATAACAAGAGTTGGAAGGGACTTTGGAGGTCTTCCAGTCCAACCCCCTGCTTAGGCAGGTGACCCTGCACCCGCTTCAGACCAATGGCTGTCCAATCTCTTCTTAAAAACCTTCCGGTGTTGGAGCATTTACAACAAGTTGTTCCGCTGCTTAATGGATCTGTCAGGAAATTTCTCCTTTGTTCTAGGTTTTTCTCTCCTTGATTAGTTTCCACCCATTGCTTCTTGTCCTGCACTGGCGCTCTGGAGAATAGCTTGACTCCCTCTTCTTCGGGGCAGCCCCTCAAATACTGGAAGACTGCTATCATGTCACCCCCTAGTCCTTCTCTTCACTAAACTAGCCATGCCCAGTTCCAGCAACCGTTCTTTATAGGTTTTGGCCTCCAGTCCGCTAACCATCTTCATTGTTTTTCTCTGCACACCTAAGGATCACACCTAGAGTCCTGCATCCAGTTTTGGTCACATTATAAAAAAGATGTTGAGACTCTAGAAAAAGTGCAGAGAAGAGCAACCAGGATGATGAGGGGACTGGAGACTAAAACATGTGAAGAACGGTTGCAGGAACCGGGCCTGGCTAGTCTAGGGAAGACAAGGACCAGGGGAGACAGGAGAGCAGCCTTCCAATATTTGAGGGGCTGCCACAGGGAGGAGGAGGAGGGGGTCAAGCTATTTTCTAAAGCACCTTTGAAGGCCAGACAAGGAATAAAGGATGGAAACTGATCAAGGAGAGATTCAACCTGGGAATAAGGAGAAACTTTCTGACAGGAAGAACAATCAACCCATGGAACAGAAGTTGCCTTCAGAAGTTGTGGGAGCGCCATCACTGGAGACTTTCAAGAAGAGATTGGACTGCCGTTTGTCAGAAATGCTGTAGGGTCTCCTGCTTGGGTAGGGGAGGGGGTTGGACTAGATGACCTACAAGGTCCCTTCCAACTCTGCTTATCTGTTCAATCTGCACTCTTTCCAGAGTCTCAACATCTTTTGCTGTTGTGGGCTTCACTCCCAGAATCCCCTAACCAGCATGGTTGGCTGGGGAATTCTGGGAATCGAAACCCACGGGTCTTCCAAAGTTTTAAGATGGGACAATCCAGACCACCACCCACTAGGCCTTCTCCATTACGGAGGAGGGTCCCCCCCCGGCTTTGGCCTGGCCCGGATCATTCATTCCGTGATCCCGCTCTGCCCATTTCTCTCTGCCCACCTGACGCAGAGCATGTAGTGATTGAGGAGGACTTTGGGTTTCAGGCGGATCTTGATGAGGTTGGAGACCACCTCCACGTCCTCGGAGCTGTGAGTGTTGCAGTTCATGCAGACAGACATGAGCAAGTCCTGGGCTGGTCGAGTGAGCTGTAGAACAGAACAGAACAGAACAGAATAGCATTATTGGCCAAGTGTGATTGGACGCGCAAGGGATTTGTCTTTGGTGCAAGTGCTCTCGGTGTACATAAAAGAAAAGAGACCTGCGTCAACCCTCACCTGGTTCTCTGGACAAGATCCTTAGGCCCTCCTTACCTTGGGGTTCTGCAGCCACATTTCCAGCCTCTGCACAGCCATCTGCCGGATCTCCTTATAGCCACAGGTGGCGGTCAGAAGGCGCAAGAGATTCCGGGAGACGTTGTCCATCGGCTGGCGTCTGTTGAGCTGGTCCCGCAACATGTCCAGAACGTATTCTTCCACACTCTCCGCAAGGTCGTCATACCTGGGCCAAAAGAGAGGCACCTTTTGCAAATTGACCCGGTGCTCCTAGGAGGCGCTCCCACCTTAGTCCAGGACGTTGCAACCTAGAAACATGTTTTAATATCCGTATGTAACTTTCCCGGGGGATACAGGAACACAAGCAGCAAGAGAAGAAGGTGCTACCTGGGCATCAGGTGGGCTTCCTGCTCAGGGCTCATTTTGTCCTCGGCTATCAACAGTTCACTCTGACTGTCTTCTTCCTCTGGAACAGAAGGATGGGGGCTGTTTCCTAGTAAGCCACAAGCGAAAACCACGGTCATCTCAGAGAATCACAGTCTGCACTCAAAGGTCCCAGGGACCCATGGTTTACAGGGAACACAACTATCTTTAAACGGCTTTGAACCCCGGCCCACCCACTCTCTGCAGGTATGGCTGTAGGCTCCTGAAGGGTTTTGTCCCTGCCTCTTACTAACCACAGTTTAATGTTGCATCTATTTAATCAACCATAGCAAAGGGTTATGCACCACGGTTTCAACCTAATATCGTCAAATCCTAAAGCAGGTGAATCCTACAATCCAACTTCTTTCCTTCCCTTCCTCTTTCCCTCTCCTTCCCTTCATTCCTCTTTCATTCTCCTTCATCTCTCTCTCATTTTTACTTTCTCCT